TTTTTTTTTTTTTTTTTTTTTTTTGGTACCGGGGATCAAACTCATGTCCTTGTGCTTGAAGGCAGACAACAGAACCACTAAGCTAAATCCCCGGCACACACAATATTTTAAATATTTTTGTTCTCATAGTGTAGACTTTTCCACTTGAGTCATTAGTTTCAGATTTTGGAGCATTTCTAATTTCAGATTAGAAGCTCTACCTGTAGCTGCTTTACTAATTATAAGAAACAGCAAACCTTTAAATTTATATTATGTAAAATAGTACTGAGGAAATTGCCATCATGAGCAATTAAATGTTTATTGCCTCCTGGCAAATAATCAAGGGGAATCCCTACTTATACCTATTCTAATTGTGTGTGCGTGTGTGCATGTGTGTGTGTGTTGGAGATAAAACCCACAGCCTCGTGCATGGTAAGCAAGCACTCTATCACTGAGGTATACCTTCAGGTCTCTTCAGGGGGACAGAGTCTTGCTAAGTGGCCCAGGGTGATCTCAAATTTCAGATTTTCCTGTCCCAGCCTCCCAAGCAGCTAAGATTACAGACATTCATCATCATACCCAATTCCAAAATGGTCTTAGTTGCAATAATAAATTTTAAAAGTATCCTAAAAACTTAAGAGGGAGACTCAGGACACATGAGCTAAAGATTAAGTCACAGGAATTATCTCTAAATGACAGCAGGGGAAATAAGGTTATGTTTTAGGAAATATCAGTACAATTAAGGGTCCTAAGAATGAAACTTGGGTTCAGGACAGCTATAACGCAGATAAGAACATCTACTAATTAAAAGACCATGTCTCTGGATGCCCAGAAAATCAAGACATAGGGATAGGATTTTAAGGGTTTCTAAGTTGCTTGAACTGACTTTGAACTCAAGGGTCTTTGTTGTTATAAAATTTTTAATGACTTAATGTGAATAAAATTCATCTGTGAAAAGACTGAATTGAAAAATAAAATTTTTCATATCTCACTATAGACCAAGACCATCAATTTCTCAAAACTCATTTTTATCAAAGGCATGTTTTTTGTTTATCCTATTTATTTTAGGGGCTTACACATAGAATAATGAGACTAGGTTAGTGGAAATTTATGTTTCATAGCAAACTTGTCCTCCAGTTAACAGTAGGGGGGCAAGGTGGTGGAAGACAATGCCATAATTACCAGTACTGTACATTTCCCCACTAAACAGAGATTTCAGGTCCTCTGTGCTAGAGACTCAGCCACAATCTCCCTGTCCTCCTAGAAGTGCACGCTCACTAACCAGTTTGTTGCAGATATCCATGTCACAGAGTGCTTCTGCCAGGATGGAGCAAGCCTCCTTCACTCCCCAGTGCGCAGCAGCATGGAGGGGAGTCCAGCCATCTTGATCCTGAACATTGAGTTCATAGCCAGCCTGAATTAAAAGTCTAAGAAGAAAACCCCAAATAATATACTTATCTCCTTGATTTTTGTCGTTTTTGCCTTGCCAATAAGCTATTGCCCAATTGATATTTAAGACTTACTCCCGCTAAGGCATAGCCCTAGTTTCATATTACTACTTTGAGCACCACTCAGACATCATCTTTACCAATCCCCTCCAAAAGGTCATACAACATGGTATTTCCTATACATGTCCTTGTTACATAAAATGGGAGTGTATGGACAGCTGTAGACGTGAGATTAACCAAAGCCTAATCCAACTTGCCAGAGCACACAACTCCATCATAGGATGTTTTCCATTTTCCAATGCAGGGTGAAATTAATATATAAAATGAAGACTCAAATTTTGAGGGAATTTTCCCAACTAGCTTTCTGGTTAATCTTTCTAAGACATTATATGTTTATTGTCGAATTTCAAACCTCCAAGTCTGCAAATGTATCTGCAGAGGGTTCTTGCTAACTATAAAGCTATAATCTAACTTGCATCCACGTTGTCCAAGAGAAAAGATAATGATTTGTAAAGTCCCAAGTCTCCAGAAACCTTTCAAGAATTGTGCCACACCTGCCTCGCAAGTGCAAGGTCCTGAGTTCAATCCCTGGTACCAGAGGCAGGGAAAAAAAAAAAAAAGAATTGTGCAAGTGTGAATGTCAAGCTCAGGCAGAAGTAGAGTTCAACACACTGCCACATCTACTAGAAATTCCAAATTCGATGGAATACAAAGGACTGGAAGACAGCAAGTACACTTACAGTGCTTTTAGCAACTGAGGTATTTGAGAAAGCCTGTCAACATTAATCACCAAAAGCCACACAAAGCATGTACAGATTCAAGGAAAAAAAGAATAGATAAAGTAGTAGAGTCCAAATCCCTCATGTGAGTTTGACTATCCTATTCCAGGTGGACACTGCACATTCAAGGTCTATAGAATTGTTGTAATGAGCCAAAAAAATTACCTAAGTTAAAAAGGACCAAAATGATCATAAGTCTGTCCTATATTACAGGTCACAAGAGGAAGAGGTTGTAGGGGAATTAATGACAAATTCAGAATGAAAAGAGGTCTTGAAACATCACTTCAAGCCCATTATACCTCAAGTCTGTTTCACATCATACACATGAGGGAGAAGCTGCAGGGATAGTGGAAGAGAGGCAGACTACCCATGGGGGAATATCAGAAATATGTGAGAAAAACTGCAGGACCAGAGGGGAAAACAACAAAAAGGAAATATATCACAGGGGAAAATCGAATTCACTCTCTGCTTCCAAAATTCACCTCTTCTCCCAGAAAACCAAAACTGCTTCATGTAAATGGACAATACCTGAGGACTTCAGAGTAGCCCTTGGCAGCAGCCACATGGAGGGCTGTGGCCCCTGAGCGAGCCTGCCTCACATCTTCTATTTTCCCACTGTTGAGCCATTGGCGGGCATCCTGTAACATCTGCTGTTCTTCTTCCTTTCTTGACTGCTCTAGATCAACTCCTACAGAAGCCAGACACCAGACAGCCAGCATTATTAAAGTTCCACTTAAGCCTCACAGGATATTTTCTTAGATTTAAAACATATCATAAATATACGACAAATAACAGCTTAGTCAACAAGTCGGGCATTATCAAATTTAGAAGAGCAATGAGATCTGTATACACATTAGTAGTCTTAGCAAGGTTAAATTAAGAGGCTAAATATGAGATGCAGGCCCATGAAGGGAACACACCTAAAACTATTTCCAACAGAACATAAAAATCACAGGGAGAAAATATATTACTTTATAATATTTGCACAAAGCTATAAACTTCAAAGTCCTTTTACATGTAAAATGATTTTAGTTTCCCAACAACGCTTTGAGGTAAAAAGAATAGATACTATGATCTTCATTTGCCAGATGAGAAAATAAAGAGAAAGGTTGGTGCCTTGCTCAAAACCACAAAACATATCAGCGACAGACCTGCCACTAGAACTCTGGTATCCTTAGTCCTTGTCTGCTTTTTCCTTTCCAGTCACTGTACTATATAATGATGGTATCAAAAATCTTGGTTTCAGACATGATATATTTTAAAAAACAAACTACCTCTGAAGCTTTTTTCTACATGTTGGAAAATACACTGATTTGAAAGCTATATACATTAATCTAGAAATGAGGTGATCCACAACCTAAAAACCAGTCTTCTTTCAATGGTATGTAAATTCTGTTTCCCTTAAAAGCAGCATGGAAGCTGGATGTGGTGGTCACACCAAGAATGCTCAGATATGCAGGAGGCTGAAGCAAGAAGAATGTAAACTTAAGGTCAGTCTAGGCAACTTGGTGAGTTCCTGTCTCAAAATAAAACTGCAGAAAAGGGCTGAGGATGTAGCTCAGTAGTAGTTACCTAGTCTGTGCAAGGCCCTAGATAAAATCTCTCATACTGGGATCCAAAAAAAAAAAGCATTATGGAGAGACTCTAAGAGTTCCTCCCTTTAGCCAATAACTTTCCAATATCTATGCCAGTGAAGAGGGGCTAAAGTGGGGGCATTCCTCACTACATAAAATAACGAAATGTCCCAAACACAAAGCATAACCATTCAAAGAGTATTCATACCCATTAGCTGTCTTTATAGGTATTTGATCTGCTCCCTCCCAGCTTTTAAATGAGAACCTATAGATTATCCATCTGATCTGGGGAATGAATGAGATGAAAAATCTACTTAAAGCAGACCAGAACTCTACACACTGTGGAGTTAACAGTGCTGCACAGTTAGGCATACATATGAACACCTGCTCCAGTAATGCAGGTGCCTTAACTGAAGAGTCATCCATCAAAACAGAAAAGGTACATTCTCAAACCAAAAACATTTTTAAAAACTCATTAAAAAGTATGATTTATAAACTGCAAAACATATTTCAGGAGATGGAACAAAGTGAAACAAGAGGTTAAACTAAGCACAAAAGTTTCCAATAGAGCACATGTGCACACACACATACACACACACTCACACAAACACAACTATACTTAGAAGGCAGCAAAAACAAGTTGTTGATATTATTGTAAGGTAAGCCCCATGTGCTTTCTATAAAGGGCCAGATATTAAATATTTTCAGGTTTGCTAGTCATCTGAACTATCAGAACTACTCAACTCTGCTGTTGTAACACAAAAACAGCTTTGGCTAATGTGTAAACAAATGGGCATGGCCAGATTTGGCCTTGTGCATGCCAAAGAACCATACCCAGAAAGGCCACTGGAACTAAATCCTTCAAGTTAAACTACAGATTGTGGGTAAGATTACTTAACTGTGCCCCCTCACCAAGTCACTGCAACTCATGTCCAGAGTTCTGTGTTGGTTCCAGTAAACTCCAAAGGCCTATCTTCCTTGTTTTCTTGTTAGTATCTATTCAACATTCATAATTAAAAGAGCCCAGGGGCCTCTAGTAAGAGAACCCTCCTCTATTCCCTGAAACTAATTCTTCTGAAACTACAAAGTAAGAATAAGCATTTCTAGAGTATATTCTCTAAATACCATTCTTCACCATAACAAACTATCACAATAATTTTCATGGTTAGTATGGTTAAAGGTCACTTCAGAGGTTACAATAAATATATTTATAAGTACCACTTTAGTTTTCTTTAAAAAAAAGATACAAAGTCATAAAATGAATTAATGAATTTGGTCATGCCGTATCCCATTTCTTCTTTGGACTCTGCAATGTGTACAAATCCAGCACAATGTGCACACAGTGAGAACTGTGGACACCCCTCATCAGGTCACTTTTAACTTTACAACTGGGCATCCAACCTCAGGGTGGCATTTGGTGTATTCCTGTGTGCGTTATTAAAAGGATAAGTGATGCTGGCAACTGATAATCAACACTGTGCAGACAATCAGGTCTACCCAGTGAGTGGACTGTATCCTATGAGGGGTGGCGTGAGGGTCTCCCCAGCCCTGCCAATTTCCCAGGTTACCTTGCTTCTTCACTTGCTCCAGAAGCAGATCCTTCATAGCTGGCTCTTCTGCAAGGTCAGAGGGGACCTCACCTTCGCTGTTCACCATACCCACACTTGCTCCATGGTTAATGAAATACCTGTGCAAACAAGACCCAGGATAAATATTATCTCTCCATTTAATATCAATTTCTACTTGTACATCTGAAGTTCACTGTGGAGCAGGGCCTATCTAGAGATTTAAATATGGTCCTGATAAGGTATTTAGTTAATTTCCAATCCCATTAGGCTTTAATGATTAAGACAAGAGGTCTCTCTAATTCCTGAGAAAAGAAATGTCAACAACAAGATTTCTTTCATATTTATATTCCTAATATTTTCACTTCCAGTGGACATTAAGACATTTTCTAAATCCCAAAGGAAGACATGTGGCTCTTAGAACTCACCCCCAGCCCTGAGGCCCAAGGTTTCCAAAAGGACTTACTGCACTTGGAATACTAGGAATGAAAGCAAGCCCCCAGAAACTGTATAAATAAGTAATTCTCATGAGAAGTTCCCAGTGCCACACTGGAGTTTATTAAGTAGTGTTCTGGGGGTAAAAAACAGAAGAATAAAGTATGCATTAAAATTTACATTAATCCTCCTAAATTATACCTCACAAAACTCTCCCTTCAATGACCATCTACATGAAAACTTCTGCACTCTTAGAGGAAAATAAATCATTGAAATGCTAGCTACGTTCTAAATCCACAAAGAATATTCGATCCTGAAGAAGGAATGACCTGATAATTTAAATGTTGTTCATGGATCCCTTTTTATTTTCAAAATACTATGACAAAAATGATACCCCAAATCTCAGACAAGATTATAAAGTAAGGAATGTAAGTACTATTACCCCCCCACCTACACATTTTAAGAAATTAAGGATAATACATAATAAATAATTTGCTCAAAATCACCTAGCTGAAAAATAGCAAAGGCTATTGCCAGTCTTTTGAATTCAAGCTTAGTTCACCTTTGCTCTAGTTCAAACCATTTCTAGATCAGTCAGTATCCCAATAATTTTGGGAACTCTACCAAATATTAACTAAGAAATATTTAAAGGAGAAAGAAAAATTATGCAAATTCCACTTCAATCCATTCAACAATTTAATAAACATTTATTGGCCCACTACTGTGTTCAAAGAAACATATATTAGGTGCTTCAGAAGAATTGTTTTTTTAAAAAATCAATATACAGCCACTTCACTGAAAGAATTGACAGAGGAGAAAGAATCAATAAAAATTAGATTAAGACCATGATTTTGCTTTCTCTGGTATAATAGGGTTCAATAAATGTTAATTCATAGATCAATTTCACAATAGAGAGCCCAACGGCATTCACAATTCATCTAATTTTCAACTATTTTCTTAGTTTCCTCACAATCTTAGAGGATGAAAGACCTTTTCAATTCCAAAATAAACTCCATCTGTATTCTCAAATCTATCAAGGACTACTACTCTGTCCATCAATTACCTCATCATTTCCCCATATTCAATAGCTTCTCTCCTCTGGTTCCTTCCCCTCAGGCCAAAGGAACATTTAACTACACCTCCCCAACCCCAAAAATCCAAAATACAAATAATGTACACTGTAACCACACAAGAAATGTTTGCTGGACTGAACTGTATACTCTAATCAAAGGAGCCATATACTATCTCCAATACATCATACTCTTACTCAGAATTTCTCCTTAGCTCAAATTGTTTCTTCCAACTGAATGGAACACATTCCCTTTTCTTTTGCCAGTCACATCTTTCAAGATTCAAGATTTTAAAATACTCTTGCCTTCAAGAAGCCCTTGCCAAAAAAGAGAAAAAAAAGAAATCCTCACAGGCAGTTTCAAGCCGGGCATGGTGGTGCGCACCTGTAATCCTAGCACTCGGGAGGCTGAGGCAGGAAGATCGCTGTGAGTTCGAGACCAGCCTGGGCTACATAGTGAGTTCCAGGTCAGTCTCAACTACATAGTGAGACCCTGTCTCAAAAAACCAAACCCCCCCACAAAAAAAGAAGCCCTTGCCACCCAACACTAACTCTGGACCTCTGTGATGACACACACTATACCCTGATGTAACCACTCTACCACTGGAAACTACCCAAGAGCAACAACTGTGTCCTCCTCACTGTTACAACCACCAAGATATCTCACACTCTCTGTTTTCTCTTGGCGTTCCACAAATATTGCTTGAATTAAAGGAAACATCTTTACCATTTCACCCTAACATCTACCCATCCCTTACTGGATGAAGCCACAACATCACTTGGGTATATAGGCCTCTAATTTTTCCTTTTCTTTCTTTTTTTTCTTTTGGGTGATACCAGGGATTGAACTCAGGACTTTGTGCTTGCGAGGCAGGTGCAGTGCCACTGGGCTAAATCCCTGGCCCAGTCTCTCTTTTTTTGATGTATCATATGAAGTGCAAATGTAAAACAAAAGGATCATCATGGAACATGAAATAAAATGTACTTAGATTCTTCCTGGAAACCCAGTTTACTTTTACTCATTTCTACTTCCTTGCAAGTTAAGAGTTCCTAATGATACTGGGAATAAGAGTGTAAAATCTTATGATACAGAAAGAAAAGTGACAAGATGACCAGGGCTGATTTTATCTAAAATATTCTTCACTGGCCCTAAGATAAGCAACCAAGTTGAAAAGTACAATCAGGTTCTTTTCCACTGAATAAAAAATAATGCCATACACTTCAAGTAAATAGTGACAGTAAAACCAAAACCTTTCTAATAATGATGTGCATAAAAAAAGATAAAGAAAGTCGATGCTGCCACAACCCCACCTCTGCAATGATCTGGTCTAGATCATCTCATTCACAGTCAAACTCTACATACACCTAATTTGTAATAATCTGTACGGAGAAAGAGTAACTGACAGATTTACTTTATCCAGGGTGAGATTTATTAGAGCAAAAGATTGCTGAGTTTTGAACTTATTTCCAAAGGATCTATGTTCATCCGTAAAGGTGAATTACAGAAAGAACTGTAAGAAGTGTTAAATCCTTCACTGCCCTCAGTTTCACAGGAAAGAATGATGGCAAACAGAACAGGCTCTCCTTGGAAAAGTGAGGGAAAAAAAATCTTGAAAAAAGTGAATCTTGATAATAATGAAATTAGGTAGCTCAAATAATACACAAACATCCCACCTGAACAAATAATCAAATGTCAATAATGACGGGCCAATATGCTTTATGTTTCCTTGGATAAATGTTTTAAGTAAAATCAGGTTGACAAAGAAGTCACTTTACCTCTTGACATCATTATGGTGGCACTGATGAATAAGGCTGGAATCAGAACATTTTATATGAGACTGAAATGGGGACAGCATCAGGGAGCCGGAGATGACTGACTTACTAACTTAGACTGAGCAATGAAGAGTGAAGAAAACTGCACTATTCGTTTTTCTTGGCTTCAGGACAACCCAGTTATCCACTATGAACAAGCAGCCTAGTGAAACACCAGTGTGCGCCCATGGTTTCTCCAGCCCCAGCTCTCTCTTTCATTTCTCCCTCTGAACATCCTTAGCTCAGTAACACACCCAGCGACTCAGGCTCACCCTAGGAAACCTGGGAAGTTCACATTGTGCGGGAAGTCATTTTCAGACCTTTATATGTCCACCAGCATAATTCTCCCCACTATAGGGTGAACAGAGGAAATGTAATGAAGCTCTAATTATATAATTGAAAATGGCCTTAAAACAAGCAATCTAGTTTTCAAAGGGCCATAGAATATCATGATTTCATTTACAGAAGTTACCATATTATCTAAATTATCTTCATCTAGAATACTCACTTGCTCCATTTTAAAGATGTTTCAACTGCCCAAGTCTCTTTCCTATTTAAAAATAAGCTCCCTATCATATAACATATAACAGACATCTATTTATTGCTCTTATATCTTAGGTACTATGTGATCAGGATTCTTCTGCCCAAGGGAGGCACAACTAGTTGTCCTGAAGGTTAGTAGCTGCTAATGTATCTTAGTGACTACACTTATTCTGCCAGTGTGGAGAATACACGCCAACCCCTACATTTCCTTGGCTCGACAGGTTAGGCTCTTTCTTCTGCAACTACCTACAAGAGGGCCATGATATGAGCAGCACACCAGGCATTTTCTACTAAGCACTGATTTTTTTTTTTTTTTTTTGGTACCAGGGATCAAACTCGGGCCTTTGCACTTGCAAGGCAGGCGGTGAAACCACTGAGCTAAATCCCCAGCCCCTTGAGCATTGATTTTTTTTTAGATAACAGATTTATAAAGAATTCTCCAGGCCTGCTGAGCTGTTCAGAAGTAAACTCAGTTCACCAGATAAACCCTACCTTTGTATATCCCAGCAAATATAAATTGAAAACAGAAACAAATAAAGTTTCAACTAAGAAAATGTGGATTTATCAGCAAGGTAAAACACAGTATCCATTATCCCTTGAAATAATCAATTTTCTATTATAATTTTTTAATAGATTATAACTACTTATGGAATTTAAGTTTGTACAAACAGAAGAGAAATTAAGGCTAATTCTGTCAAATCCACACAGAAACTCACTCTGCTATGTTGAGATAGCCGCAGGAAGCTGCTGCATGAAGAGGTGTCCAGCCCTCATTGTCTTGCTGGTTTATGTTGGCTCTGTTTTCCACCAAAAACTTTACCATGTCCAAATTTTCATCAATACATGCCTGAAAAGAAAAGTCCATTCAGTCAGTCAGCAGCTATTTACTGAGTGCTAGTCTATGCCGAGCATTGCTTTGGACACTGACAATGCCCAGAGGTTCAGGTGATACATTAATTTTTATTTCTTTCATACTAGGTGCCTAAAGCATGACTTCTAAGCCTTGAAGTACTATAGGAGTATCTTATTTAGTAGTAAGAGTACTAATAAGATTAAATGTAAAAGAGATTTCTAGAGTGCTATAAATGGGCAAATTGTTTCACCATTATATTAAATGATTGGGGGGGTACCGGGGATCGAACTAGGGTCCCTGTGCTTGCAAGGCAGGCAGCGGAACCACTGAGCTAAATCCCTGCCCTCTCACCAATATATTATAAAAAGAAGAGCATGTTAGAAATCTGATAAACACTGATTTGCTTATGAATTTTAAAAGAAAAAAATCACATAGGCTCAGATGCAATTTTCTCAGTGGAAAGTTACAGTTTAAAACTTTAGGATTGCTAAGATTTCTCATCTGTTTTGGTGAGAAAAGGGAGGGGGATCATTTCAAGTAGAAGAAATGTATTTTCTGAATGGAAGAATATGTTTATGATTATGGATAGTTAGGATTCCTATCTGCCTATTTCAAAGCAGCAATTAGAGGAGATCACAAAAGTTTTGTGAATTAAGGCTTTAGGCTTCTAAGATAAACAATCACAAACACCAATGAGATCTGCAAAAACCAAAAAGCTGCCTTGACACAGATATAGAATAAAAAGGAGGCAGAAGGCTTACACTGACAAAGATTATCATTACCCAGGTTTAGATGTTTCTAAAACCATTGGGATAATTCAGGACCTAGAAACAAATGAGATCACCTCTTTAAAGCTCACCTATGAATACTTTCCTTCAAATAAATAAATATTTAAAATTTTAATAGAGGAAGAGTTCATTAGCCAAATCAAAATGATTGCCCCAACAATATTAGGGATTATTTACATTTTCATTGTGTTGACATTGGCACTAATAATGCAAAAGCAATGGTGAATGAAACTGCCAGTGCCTTAGCACAAATCAAAGTAAGCAGCATCAAGAGAAGTCAGTTCCACTTAAGAATGATGTAAATGAAGCAGTAAAAATTATTAATTTTATTTCATCTAAATCCTTGAATACAGTATAAGTTTTTTTAATATTGTGTGACAAAATTGGAAGTATATTTGAAGCACTACTGCTATACCTGAAGTGTGTGGCCATTGCTAGGAAAAAGCACTTCTGCATGTATCTTGACTTGCAAGATGAACTAGCCATTTTCTTCACAGGACACTATTTTCATTCAAAAGAATTACTGACAATTTAATTATTCACACTTGAAATTAACAAGGCGAGCCTGTCACCTCATAGAAAATTACTACCCTTTGCTGTCAATGGTAAAACTCAACCATGCAAGGGAAACTTGGATTTTTGGAAAAAGCCAACACCATGAGCTCTTGGACTATCAAACAGCACCATAGGACTATCAAACAGCAAGGGTAATTTGTAACATTACATAGTGAAATGTGTTTACATAGGAAGGTCTGATAACTCAATGAACCTATATTTTCCAAATAGCCAAGTGCATGGTGTTAGAGAATTACGGGTAAAAGATTCATTCAATGTACAAGTTACACCAATGGGTGTTTTGTACCAGGGATCAAACTCCTTGTGCTTGTGAGGGTGGTGGAGGAACCACTGAGCTAAATCGCTGGCCCTAGACCAGTGGGTTTTAATGTAACAGAGTAAGACCAGTCCACTGACATGGTTTCAGTTTCCACACTACAACTAATATTTAAGGAACTACCACTTGGAGTTTGGGTATAGTACACAAGAACATCACCCACAACTGTCTGAGTAGGCAATTAACACTCTTTGGTGGGCCAGGGATGTAGCTCAGTGGTGTCACCGCCTGCCTCACAAGTATAAAGTCCTGAATCTGATCCCCAGTATCAAAATAAATAAATTAATTACTTAAAATAAAATACTCCTCCCTAAAAGTATATATTTTTATTAAAATATGAAATGTATATTAATATGTAATGGGCTATTATTATTCAATTGGATTAATACCTATATTTTTCAATATAATGTATCTCTTAATGATATATAACAACAAATATGAACAATGCTCTCAATAAATTGGGAGAGTTCTGAGTAAAGTTAAGTGTAAACGAACCTGAAGATCAAACAGTTAGAAAACTACTGTCTTCCACAAGACTTACCAAGAAGTATTTTATGGTGACAATGAATAACTGTTTAAACAGCAAATCACTGTGGAAAGAATTCAAGTTAGAACTTTAGAGGACCTCTGTAAATAAAGGACCCAAGTAGTACACATCACATACTTATGGGAACTCCCTCTAGCAATAAACCTCATGCCAAACCTGCCTAAAAGCAGGGGCATGGATGAAAATTCAATTTAGGTGAAAATTTAATTAGCTAACTGGTTACAAAAAGCACCTTTGGTATGGGCTACATAGTGAGACCCTGTCTCAAAAACACAAAAAACAAAAAAGCATCTTTGTTAATTTTTCCAAAATAATTTGATACTCTTTTTAAAATAACTGCAATTAGCTAAACATATCAGCCTAGATTTGATCTGATGCAATATAATTCCTCCAACTCGACCCTTGAGGTCAGCATAGTCAGTATAGTCTAGCCAGTATAGTCTATTTTTCAACAAGCAGCTCCAGAAATTACGCTTCTTCTATGATATATACTTAGGTTTATCAACTTCCATAATCATTCTCTCTTTACTCTTTCTTCACTTCTTTACCACATATTTCAAAATTATTCACAAAATATTTTTAAACTTTTGATAATTATGCTTATCACTAAATTGGACATATGATGTATGTCTGTCAGTCTGCAATCCTATGTGGTAAGGTGCAGCCAACTAGCAGCGGAGTACCTCACTAAAAACTACAAATTTTCAAGTGAAGAGATGGAAATGAACATGTCGTAACTCATTTTCTGCTGCTGTTGCAGAGCACTTGAGTAATTTATAAAGGAAAGAGGTCTGTTTGGGCCTATGGTTCTGGAAGTTAAGAAGTCCAAGACTGGGGGAGCCTTGTGCTACTCCAACTCATGGCAAACAGTGGAAGGACAAGCAAGAATGTGAGACAGAAAAGGAGGCTGAACTCATAACCCATTCCCATGGAAAAAAGGCATTAATTCATTAATGAAGACTCCACTCCCTATAAGTCAAGCACCTCTGGCTAGGATCACTCTTCCCAACACTGCTGCACCAAGGAATTAAAAGTTTAAACACATAAACTTTTAAGGGACACCCTCAGGGCAGTTTCCAAAAAGTACTGCAGCCCAAGAAGACTATTTTAGGGGCTGTATTACACGCACTTTTTGCTCTTAATAGTAACTTCTATTTTGTGATAGTTAATCTTTACTGGCTTGAGGGACTTAGAAGATCAGTAAAGCACACTTCGGGATGTGTCTGGGTTAGTTACAGGGCATGTCCTGGTCCCTTCCTCTGGCTCTTCCACTGTTCTCTGCTTCCTGGATGCCATGAGTCAGGCTGCTTTGCTTCCACCATACCCTCCTTCCATGTTTCTGCCTTGGAGCCAGCTAACCATGGACTGAAACCTCTCACACCATGAGCTACAATAAACTTTTTCTCCTATAAGTTGTATATGTCAGATATTTTATCCCAGCAATGAAAAATATGACCAATGCATGTATTAACTTATGTCATCTTAACTTGGTTGCCCAAGACAGCTTGGGTCAATTGCTTCTTTCTTGGTTGCAAAATATCTTTGGCTCTTAAAAAAGAACAGTCTAAAAATTAGCTCCAATGGCTACACCACCACCAGGCAGATTTTGAGAAACAAAGTGTTTTCAAGATAATTCTTTGCCCTTTGACGATGTCAGCAGCCAAATTCCAGAGAGCCTCAAAAAGGCCCAGCTTGTCCAGGTATCAAACAGGAGAAAATTAATCTTTTCTTCTTCCTTTCCTCTTATTAGCTCCTATGCTGTTCTAATCTTCTTCACTACTCCAGTTTTCCTCCTTTTCAATTTTGTGACATTGTTGTCTATAGATTTCTAATCCTTGACACAGTATTGTTAGGGGGAATGACACTGTGAGGAAGTTTGAGAGAACGGCAACAATAAGAAATTGGCCTAATCGGATATGTAATTGGGCAGATCATCAATCTCTGAAGAATTATTTCAGAGAGAATAGAGTAGTCCAACTGCTCAAATTATTCACCACATCCTCTACCAAGTGACAGTAACTGTTAAAATGCATCAGCTTCAGGGACAGTCAGAACAGGGCTTAAATACCAGCTCTGCCAATACATATAACCATGAGCAGGACAGCTAACCTAAGTTATCAGTGCACTAGGGAACTGGGAAGATGCCCACCTCAGGGCTTTGTGAGGATTAAAAGAGGTCAGCTCTTGGAATAGTTCCTGATGTTGTTTTTAAGCTAACAGTTTAACAAACAGCAACTTTCCTGGAGAAAACACACACACACACACACACACACACACACACACACAACCACAAGATGCACCAATTCCTCACCTATCACAACCAGCCCCCACCTCCAGTACCTTTTGGGGGGGAAAGCAGTTTGATTAAAAATGTCTTTGAACTAGCAAGATTTGGAAGTTTATTTCTAAGTTTAACTTTAGAAAATCCTTCTCTCCTTTCAGAGTTCTGTGGATTCCTAAATTCAGGAGCTATAAGAAAAAATAGTATGCACCCTGGTTAAATTGGAAGGGAATTATCCTTGTAATCAATGCAATACTGATCAACACAAATGTAGGATATTTACTCTCATGAAATACCTTGGAAGGATGGCTTTCCCCCCTCCCCCTTCATCCCTTTGTCCTCTCTCCTTTTTGGGGTACTGGGGATTGAACTCGGGTCCTTGTGTTTGTGAGGCAGGTGGAACCACTGAGCTAAATTCCTGGCAGCTCCTCTCTCCTTTTCCTCCCCTCCCCGCCCTTTTTTTGACTCCAGAAATGGGCTATTAGT